CCCTTCCGGTGTCCAACAATGAGATTTTTGGCCGTTGGGATCTGGGCGGGAAAAGCCCCGCTGGCCGCCTAGAAACCCCTCTCGGCCATGAGATACCTGGCGGGGGGCCGTGCAGCCCGCTCGGCGGGCGGTGGTGCAGGAGCCCGCGGGCCCCGGCGCCTCCTGACCTCGTCCAGCGGCGCCGAGATTCGGTTCGAGACGGGGCTGTCGGGTCTTAGCCGCTCCTCCAGGGAGGAAAGAGTCCAAACTCGTAGTTGGGCCTGGACTCGGAAAGGATCCCTTCGCAGGTATTGGAACAAGCACTGCTTGAAAAGCTGCCGTGGAAGTTCACTGTTCAGAGTTGTGGGTGTGTTTTCAGATGCTTTGGGAAACGTAGATGCTCATCGCCCGCCGAAGGTAAACACGTGGGGATGAACCGAACACCGAGTTGTGCAGGAATTGACCTAGCGTTTGAGTTCTTGCTTAATTAGATGCACTTGTCCTCCCTACCGTACCGAGCGAGCGGGCACTTGGCAGCCCTGTCTCCAGTTTTGGCCGAAGCAGTTGCTGATGAGCCTGCAATGATCCTCCCAAGAATAACCCTGGAGAATTCTTGCGTTGGTCTGTGTTTCTGGTCTCCGTGCTTTGCTGTCGATTTTCATATTGTGTTCTCCGACAAAAAGAGGCTCTCCCCACCCCCTTTTGTTCAAGGATTTAGCTAGAAATAGCGGGGTTTATTGTTTGTAGGTCCTAAGAACAATTCCTTACTCCCCTCCCCCAACATTGCATTAGAAATATCTCTTCTAATTTTTGCAGCATCACCAATTATAACAGTACTCTGTTAGGTGAGTTTAGAAAATGAGGTGTTCTATTTACTTTAACTTTCTGAGACTCACTCTGAAACTTCAACTATAACAAAGCTTAGTGAAAAACTTCCTTAAATGTATTAAGCACTTTGAAATTATGAAGGCTATTCAGTATTACTTAACCGTGATGACTCAGGGTCAATATTATGAAGAGCCATTAATACATGATTTTGGTTCTAATTCAGTTTTTTTCTATATCCTTCTTTAATATCAGTCGTCTCTTCTGTTTGGTATGTTTTCTTGGGTCTTTCACCCCAAACCTCCTTAGAGTTTATAAGTGTTAATCTGCTGTTAGTAGGGAGGACATTTTAATAATTTGATGGTAAATAACAGTCTGTAGCTTTTCTAAAGGACTTAAGTGAAGGATTTTTTTGAGGCTTAACTTCTAAAGGACCCGTGTTTTAGGATTGTTACTGTCACTAAGTTCTTGAATTTTATTTGAAACATGTCGAGGATGTATTTTTAAAAACATGTTTATTGATTTGAGAGAGAGAGAGAGAGAGAGAGAGAGAGGAAGGGAGAGGGCTAGAGAGATAGACTGGAAACATCAATGAGAGAAACATGGATTGGCTTCCTTCTGCACATGTATCCTGACTGGTTCATGTGTCGATGCTCAACCACTGTGCCACATCGGCCAGACTAATTGGTTTGATGTTAAAAAGATAAGAGGTGAAATATACTTTTAGTACTAAGAATACTAAGTAGAGACTCCAATGGGAAATACAGTGTTCTTAGGAGATGTGTAAGAAATGTTCACCTCTTTTTTAAAGATAAAATTAGTATTTTACACATCACCTTAACTACTATGGGCTGATTAAGGACTTTTAACCTTAAATCTGGTCTCAGCAAAGTGATTTGTACACTAAGTGAAACTGTTTACACTCTCCTCCTTTCAGGGCATTGCTTTTTTGGTTTCTCTTCTTACCAGTTGCTTTGCTCATACTGACTTTATAATTCCTCTGTTCTTGAGGTTGCAATGTTTAGTCCTTGGTCCACTTTTTTTTTTTTAATACTTCCCTGGTAATCTCATCCCATGTCATAGCTTTAAATACCTATATGCTGATGGCTGCCATATTTATATCTGCAGTTCAGACTTCCCTCCTGCATTCCAGACAACCTGTTCCACATTTCACCTTGGATGTTAAGTATAGTAAATCCTTGATTTTGTGGACCTCAATATAACGGACTTTGGATTTATCACACAAAATTTCTGGTTCCTATGTGATGTGTGGAAATTAATACCCTGTTAATTTTTAAGTGCTTTTAACCAAGATTTGCTCATTAAGCTAACAGGTGGTTTTTTTTTGTTATTAATAAAGTTATTTTAAACAAATTTTAGTGAATAGGCCATGTGTTGGAAAAAAACAGTGTAATAATTTCATCAATATAAATAAATATTACATATCTACAACTATAGTCTACATATTTAAATCCAAGAATCACTGCTTGGAAACAAGGATGGGTAATGATTAGCACGTGATCACACTGCATAGTGCATGCTAATTGGTTCTGTTGTCTCCTGGCATGACTTTCTGAAGCAGTTTTAACCGATGTTTCCTTCTGTGCTAAGTCACACCACAGCCATGTGCTCTCAGTGACTGGTGAATGCACCCGTTTCCTAGACTAAATAGGTATAAATTTAAAATTAAGTATAAATTTAAAATTAAGTAATAAGTCTGGAAAACTTTTCTGTGAAATTAAAATTTCAAACATACTTAATTTTAATTACACAAACGTGTCTTATAAATAAAAACAGGTAAACTAACTAATTTGTCAATTTTTTAACATATGCATTCAGAAAACCTAACGGACTTTTGGCTTTAACGGACACCCCTTGCCTGAATTAGTCCTTTATATTGAGGTTTCACTGTAGTCAACTTAAACTAAACTTCCATTTTCCTTTTTAAACCTGCCTCAGGTGCAGTCTGATTTATCTCTTTTGATGTCTGTTCCAGCCAACATTCAGGCAAAAAACCTGTTGGAGTTATCCCTGACTTATCTCTTTCACACTTGGCATTCTGACTCTGTTTCATTTTGAAAATGTATTCAGAATTAAATCACTTCTTACCTCCTCCACGGCTCACTAAGCTGGTCCAAGCCATTCTTATCTCTTGCCTAGATTTCTGTAGTTAGTCTTCCAACTGGTCTCCCTGCTTCTACTACCCTAGCTCCCTACAGTCTTTTTCAACATAGTAACCAACCAGATCATATCACTTCTCTTCAAAACCCTGTAGGGCCTTTCCATATGCAGAGTAAAAGATGAAGTCTGTATGGCCTACAAGGCCTTCAGAAGTTGGGCACTCCTACTTTCCCCATCATCCCTTACCTGTCTTAATTTAGCTGCTGCTCTTCCCCCTGTTAATTTCCCTCCAGCCCAACTAACTAAGGGCCTTTAAACTAATTGCTTCCCCTCCTTGGACCACCTTTTTTCCTAAGATATTTGCATGGCTGACTCTCATGTCTCCTTGAAATCGTTGCTTTTCAAATGGTCTATCTTACTTTACTATTTTATTTAAAGCTGCATTCCCCTACTTATGATCTGTATCTTGCTCTATTTTCTCCATAGCATTTGTCACCTTCCAACAAACTATGTAAATTCTATTTGATTGTGTTTATTGTTTCTTCTCTTTGCCCCCAAACACATACTATAATGTAACCTCTCTGAGGGCAGGACTTTTTGTCTGTTTTGTTTATTGAGTGTTTAGGGCAGTGCTTGGCACATAGCATGTGCTCAATAAAGATTTGTTCATGACGAATGAAATCCTTATCCTGCAGTTCCTTACTGTGATGGATACCTCATTCTTGGACACATGTAGTTTTCAGTTTGCTCATATAGTTTTCAACTTCAGTTAGTCAGAGAGTAGGAGAAAAGTGGTATTGGAGCTTTTGGGGACCCCTTGGTGGACGGAATGATGTTAGAGTGTGATGGAAACCTTTTTCCCAGCCCTATGTGATTAGGACCATTGGTTAGGTTGGTTAAAGCAGGAACTGAAAGTATCTGTATGCCTTAAATATTTTATTTTAACTTAAAACATTTTTATTTGTCTGTCTTATTTTTTTGATCAGTCTTTTGTCTTTGAATTGGGGATTGGGGGGTTGGGGGGGGAGTATCTTCTGATCTTTTTTCCATAAATCATACCCTAAAAGCATTGTTGGTAATTTCTATTATTGGTTTCTTTAAAGGGGAATGAAAATGTAGCCACTAGAAATTTTCCAAGTTGAAAGTCAAGTCATTCTAGATTTTTTTACTTCATCAAGGCCTTCCAAAGGATTTAATTTAGTTTTCATAGCAATAGCAGCTATTGTCTTTATATTCTCACTAGTGACCCAGCACACGAAATCACGCAAGACCTGGGATCCCAGACCCCGCTGCACCACGGGACTCCCCCAAGTCCCACCGTCGCTGCGAGACCCAGAGTCAAGTCTCTGCCCACCCGTGTGCACGCCTCATTGTGCACGCAACCTCCTGGTGACTGGTCTTTGGTCGTTATAGCGTTAAGGCCACTGGGTTTTTATAATATAGATGGGTTTTTATAATATAGATATTTAGTGGATTTATAAAAATAAATGACTACAGCCTGGTTGGTGTGCTCTGTGGTTGAGTGTCGACCCATGCACCAATAGGTTGCCGGTTCAGTTGATCAGGGCACATGCCTGGGCTCTTTCCTCAGTACAGGGTGTGCAGGAGGCAGCCCATCAATGTTTCTCCCTCATCGATGTTTCTATATCGCTCCTTCTCCCTTCCTCTCTAAAATCAATAAAAATACACACACAAAAATAAATAAATGACTACACAGGAGAATAGTAAACTGCTAGCCAGAATCATTAGCTTT